TCCAACGTTGGTCTGTCCTCTCACTACAGTTCGAATGTTGTCATCCAACCTCCTGGAAAAAAAGAATCTATCATGTCAAACTCATTCTCTGTGTGCCTGACCCCGACAATTGTGGGAACCTTAAGAGCTACAGAACTGATTTAACAAAAAAAAGCTGATGCTACCAATGCTAAACTCACTTCCCCTCCCCACCCCCATAGGACATCACTATCTTACAGATTTTAAAATTACTGTTATAAAAATAAGAATCCATTTCCTAATTTAATCAGAGCTTCTTGCATTTCTCATCCTTTAAGCAATACTGTGAGTCCTCTCGTCAGTTTTCATTTCAGCTTTCCCCATATTACAGTGCTGTCTCAATCACTTCAAGTTGGCAATGCCAAACTGCACAGAAAACATAAGTATTTCCTGCATACTTACATTTATCTTGTACTTACAGGACAAGTAATACATAATGAAAGTTTTTACAATTGCTAGTTTGATCTCACAAACAAATTCTGAGCAAATGAGTCTTCTGGGTAGTTTGTTCCATTAGCCTTTAAACTGTACTAAAATTTGGTACTTGTTGATTTTTAATTCATTGTTTTTCAAAGCTCTACTTTGCAACCCATGAGCTAAAATAACCTGAAGGGTATTACACAATAGAGGCAAAATATAAAATGTTATAATAAATGTCTCTGTCCCACTATTACATTTTGAGGCTGATCCTATTTGTGTCTCTCAAGCAAATTAATTCCTCCCAGCTCCAGTGCAAGGGTTGTACTTATGAAGCCTCAGTGACAACTCAGCACCTGAGCTGCAATGAAACGGAGAAACATTTACCTTATTTTCAACCTGATTTTGTTCACAACTTCATCAATGTTTGCCAAAGACTACAAGAAGGAAAAAAAAGAGAGAAGTGAAACGGGGAACCTTTTACTGTGATACAGATCAGCTGTGACACGTCATGCTTTCTCATGAGTGGCACTTTACAAAGAGAAGAGCAATTACTTTGTTGTACAGATGGAGGCACTGAGACACACGGCAACTTAGCTGCAACCTTCAGGTCACAACACGAAGAGTGGCAAAAGCCAGGGCAGGCCAAGGGGCAGCCCTCCAGGTCCCAAAGGCTCCCTGCTTCCCACCCAGCCCTGAGCAAGCAGGGTGCCCCAAGCCCTCCCTTGTCAGCAACTACTCCTGAAACGCCGTGGTGACAGTGACCTCCAGTGGGCAACGGGGACAGAGCTTGTACCTTCCCTGGGCAGAGACCCTGCTGCAGAGCCTGTACATGGACTGGAGGAGGCCTGGCTGCTGCTGGAGCTTTAGTGGGGGTACTGCAGGGAAAACAGCTCTTCACCACTATTAGCAAAAGGAAAAAGCCAAGCCAGCACCACCAGCAAACTAAATAGAAACAGCTGAAAGCCAAAATAGTTGGTGCTGCAGAGGATCTTAAGCATGGTAAATACTGGGGCTGCCTCACAACTCAATCTTCAGCAGCAGCATCACTTCCTTTTGCAACAGATTAGCCCAAAACTGCCCCCGAGGCTGATCTGGGTAAAACAAAGTATGGATATGAGCCCATGGCAATCTCATTCCTTAAATCTCCGAAGAAACAATAACTCTCAAACATGGGTGACTCTCCAGTGATACTTCAAGGCAACACCTGCCTGATTTGGCTGAAACCTGTGAGGATTCACCACTGATTAAGACGCAGCAAGTCATGACATTTACTGGAAGAGAAAACTCTATATAGAAAGCTGATTTATTTCTACAGATCAGGAGTTTTAATGCAGCAAGCACTTTGGGTGGAAAGGGACTACATAATGACAGTGAACATCATGAGATGTGAATCTAAGAAGTGATTATTGTTATAGTCTTACTACCTGTGCTACTGTTTAAAATAAAAGGCTTGGGTACAGGTTTCAACATGCCTTCAGTCACTTCCTATCAGGTTACCCCTCACAGAGAAGGCTGTGCTGTGAGCACTACTTACTTGCTCAGTGGGAAAGAGAGTATTAATATACTCCACTGCATTGAAATCTGCTCTGTCCAGTGGATCTTGGCTGGGAAATACCTGAAAAGAGGAAAGAAAACAAATACAATCAATACATCACTGTTAATTTCTCTAACTTTACACAGTATCTACTACTTTTAGTTACTTCAGCACCCACTTCTGATTGTTTCACTGCATTGTTCTAACAAGTGTGCACAGAGAGTGGTCAGGCCTGTGCCCAGGAGTAAAGCAGCCACATTCCTGTGGATATCAGCCTGGGTAAATGCCAATAACATATATACATGCTTCCACATACAGCCCCAGGTGTATCAAGCACTCATTTACAAGGAATTCCTGACACAGCCAAACCATTAATTATCCATCCCAAACCATTCTGATGTATCCGGAAATGACCCCCTGTGCTGTGGCATTGCCCTGATCTTTCCAAGGCCCTGTGGTGAGAGAAGAGGATTTGCTGTTCACAGCCACGTAACAGGGATCATGATGAACTGAGCAATGGTTGTACAAGTTCTCTGGAGACTTGGGTTTGCCACTTCCACATGAAAAAGAGGGAGAGAAACAGAATCTGCTGAATGATTATTCCTACCCACAAGAAAGGGGAAAGAGCAGCTGCAGTACAACAGATCTCATCTCTCCTCAGAAGTAGCTCAAACAACACAAAGGCAGCTGTCAAGCTTTGCTTTTCATCCCCACAGACTAAATGATGCTTTCCTTTCTCTGCTAACATACTCCTTCCATATTCAGATTCACACAGCCATCAGCTCTGCACTCTGTGGTCAAAACCCTGCCTAGCAAATGCACGGCTCATCCCTACACATCACCCTGGTCACCAAAAGCCTTCACAGAAACCTGCATGACCTGAGCACACACAGCATCTATGCTGTTTTACACATTTTGCAGCTTAAAAGCAGTGGTTTTGTGAGACCACTTCTATGAACCAGACCTCTTCAGCAGCTTTCCCAAAGCTACTCCTGTGGCCAAGGAGAAGCAGGCAGCATGAGGTGGTGCCTGAATGAGGAACATGCTCTGACATTAGGCCAACCTCACAGCACAGCTGCAGCATCACAACCAGCCTGTCCTGCTCTGGGCTCACAGTTCCTGCAGATTCAGTAAACCCCAAATCTCCACAAGCAGCAGAAGCAAAGGGTGAGATGGACGGTAAAGGCTGCTCAGGAGCTTTACTCCAACTGCAGATACAGATCAGTGCTGCAGGCAGCTGTACCAGCTGAAGAGGTTGCTACTCCTTTGGTTTTGTCACAGCCCATTAACCAGAAATGAGCACCCCACATTTGGTGGAGCACCACGTGTGCTCCCTGCCTCACTTCAGGCAGGAGTCAGCTGAGCCAGTTCCCATTTCACCAGAGCCTGGCGGGTTCTGCCCAAAGCTGATTAAGAAACAAAGGAACAAGAAGATTATTGGGTTAGGAAGTGCCAGTGAGGAAGTGATGGAAGGCAGGAGGCAGCAGCAACCTCAAAACCTCCCCTAGCTCTGGATGTATCTGCCAACAGCCCCTGCTGCCTGTTAAAATAATTCAGCCAGGGATTTGATGGATTTTCCACTGCTTCAAAACTCAAGTCAAGACTGTCTCTAAAAGATATGGTTTACACTGAAGAGACATTTTGTGCTTGATTAAAATGTCATTAGGTAACCTTCCTTGGTTGCCTGATGTCAGAAATCACAGGAGGCTTTCAAACACTCAGGTTCTATCAAGCACAGAGGGTTCTTCTCGACAAGTTCCAGGTCTACTTTAGAAACAGGCATTTAACTTAGCAATTCTTAAAGTTTCAGTAAAAATTACTCAATGATTTACTGCCAACAATAAACTCATTGATTTTCCCCATGCAAAGATAAAAGTATGTGGGGTGTCTCTCTGGAGCAACAATACTCCAAAGCTGATGCAGCACCCAAAGAAAAACTGTGCTGCCCTCCTCACCTGCTAGCACTGGGCTCACTCCAGATGCCATGGTCTGCCCCAAGTCTTTGACGAGAGCCACCAAAAGTGATCCACCAGCCTCAATACCAAAGAAACTGTGGTAACTCAAGTGATGTTCTGAGACACAGCTACTGCTGCCCACAGACTTCTACTACATGGAAGAGCTCTTCAGATGGAAGGGTTGGCTGAAAACAGTCACAGACTCCAACAGATACATGACTTTACCCCAGGTTCTTGTGGGCTTCAAGAGCCACAAAGGGTTTCAGGGAACACTGGAGGACTTGGGCTGGAACATACCAATCACAAAAGTCAAACCAAGCCATTTAGATTACCCTGACTTCACAGAATCATAGGATGGCTTGGGATAAAAAGGACCTTAAGATCATGCAGTTCCAACCCCCTGCCACGGGCAGGAACACCTTCCACTGAGCAGCTTGCTCCAAGCCCCTGTGTCCAACCTGGCCTTGAACACTGCCAGGGATGGGGCAGCCACAGCTTCTCCGGGCACCCTGTGCCAGCGCCTCAGCACCCTCACAGCCGAGTTGCAAAACACTGAGCTCCATTAAGACACTTTACACACCCAGTACTCGGCAGACAGGACAGGCACGGCCGGCCCAGAGCGGTCAACACCCCAATGGGGAAGCAATCAGATGAGCTCTGCCGCGCTGAGGGCAGCCGCAGGGCGCTGCGGAGACCGCTGACACCCCCTCAGCACCGCCGCGGCCGCGGCCCCGTGTGGGCCCAGGACGCCGGCAGAGCGCGCCGGGGCCCTCACAGGGCGGGCACCGGGCCGCGCCCACAGCCGGGGCCTCACCGGAGGAGCTGAGCCCTGCCCGCCCGTCCCGGCGCACCTGCTCGATGGCGGCCTGCACGGCAGGGGCCAGCTCCAGCGCCGCCTCCAACCCGGCCTCCAGCTCCGGCTCGTCCTCCTCCATGGCGGCCGCCGCTTCCGGGCCGCGCGGCATGGCGGGAGCCGGAGGACACGCCCCCTCCGCCGCAGCAGCCGGGGGCGTGGCTTGGGAGGGGCGGGAACCCGGTGTGGGCGTGGTTTCCATTGGGCGGGGCGGGGCCTGCCGCCCGGCGGTGCGGGGCGCGTCCCGGCGGGGGCGGCAGCGGCGGGGCCGGTCCCTCCCGAGCGGAGCCGAGAGGAGCCGAGCGGGACCCTCCCGCCGCCCGTCCCGCTGTTGACAAGCGGCGGCGGGGGCAGCGCAGCGGCCGTGGTCATCCTCATGTGGCGGACGCTGGCCCTCGCCTCCGCCTTCTTCCCGGGGCTCTTCGTCCTCTGCATCCGGTTGCTGCGCTGGGCCGCCCCGGGATGGAGCCTCAAGGACCGCATCCTCCTCAGCGGCAGGTACGGACGGGATCGGCGGGAGGAGGCGCGGATCGCGGCGGGCTGCCACCGTTACACATCACGGCGGACAGGGACCGGGATCGGGACCGGAGCGATCCGGACGGGACAAGAGCACCGAGCCCCGGCGCTGGGAGCTGCCCCCGGGGGTGCCCCGACCCCCGGTAGCCCCGAGGCCGGACAGTGCGAGAGGGGCAGGGACCCCGCGGGCTCCCGTTGGCGGTGCGGGGATGCTCGGGTGCAGCTCTCCCTCTGTACCCGCTGAGGCTCGGGATGGCAGGGACGAGACCCGGACACCCCCTCCCCGCCGTGTCGCGGTGTCGGGGCCTGGCACAGCAGCGTCCCTCGCCGCTGGGCGCGGGGCAGAGCCGTGACAAGGCGTTCGGGGCGTGCTCCGAGTAGGCGTCGAGTGCCAGGAGCAAACCCGGTGCAAGCGGGGCCACCGCGGCTCCTCTGCCCTGCCGGGAGACGTTCGGGGCGACCTGTTCCTGCTCTCTGCGTTTCAGGTTGGTGTCGACGGTCCAAGCCACGATGGCCACAGTGTCAGGGATCACGGTTGTCCGTAACTGCAAGGATGTGGTGTATGACAGGTAACCCTTGCTGTCCCGTGAGGAGCACACACAGGCTGTGCCCGCCCAGCTTGCAGCTGGAGTGTTTTATGCCGAGGGCTTGCATGTACAAAGGGAAGAGGGAAACTAGTTTCATGTTCCTATTTCCTCTGCTTCGGGTGAAGGGTTGGGCAATGCACTGGCCAAACACCCCCCAAAAGGCACATGCTTGTGCCCTGAGCTCAGCCCTGAGAGGCTGCTGTGCCAGCATGGAGGTTCTGCTCTTCAGGATGGGCTGTAACATAGGCTCATATATGAGCCAAAAATAAAGACATCATCACTTCTAAAGGGGTTGGGAGTCTCCTTGCTGGAAGGGGAAAGGGCTAACGACTGAAACAGACCTAGTGAGAATTGACTTTAGAGGTTCATCGCCTTCTCCGTGCCAGATGGATTCTGAAGGAGTCCAGAAATGAGAAAATTAGTACAGAGTCAGCTCTGAAGAAAAAGCACATTGCCTTGTCCTCAGTGCTCAGAGATAATCTGCCCCAGAAGTGGCTCTCAGCAGGAGCGATAGTGCAATCTGGGTCAGAAGACTTAAAAACAGAGCAATTATCAGGAGAGCAAATTGTAGGAGGGCAGAATATAATTACGTTAAGGTGGCATTTGACCATCACACCCTGGATTTTAGGGCGATTCTCAGGGAAGGCTGCCGTCTTGGTCATCGCAGACTTGCCCTTAATACACAGATGTGAAATGTCCTCCCTTGCGCTAGAGTGAGATCTATCCCAATTGCTCAGTCCTGATAACCTGGGGCAGTCTAATGAGTTACCATTTGACTCTAAAATAAAATCTCTGCTGTACAGATAAGGCAGATGATGAATCCCAGACCCACACAGTCACAGGCACTGCTGGCAGTCCTCCTCCTCCCCAGAACCCAGTGTTCTCAAGGCCAGCAGCTCCATGCAACTACTTTGTGGTCAGAGACCTAGATTTTCTTTGGATCTGAAGGAAATACAGCCCAGCGCTCAGCAGGGAAGGCCTCAGAGAATGACAGTGAACCAGAGAGCCGGGAAGCATCACAAAGGTTGCAGTAAAATTTGCCAATTTATTTACACAGGCAGGCAATCATTATATTGCTGGCACCATAATTGCCCTCCAAAGCCCTGGGCAAGTTTTGCAAACACAATAGTCACTTCCCCTCCCTGCTTTACATCACTTAAATCTTTCTATCTGGAACGGGAACGCGTGTGCCAGTTTTTCTCTGGAGATGCTAGGCAAGCAGAAGCAGATTTGTTTGAGCCCCAAGCTACGTTTCTTCAAGCAGCAGTGTAGGATGGGTTGGTTTTGTATTGGTTTATCAATGTGATTTCACACAGGACAGTTTAAGGAGCCTGGTGTCCTGCAGAGCAGGGCTTGCTGCTGTCTGGGTTGTGCAACCAGGATTCCAACATGCGTTGGGAACAGGCAGCTGCCTGCAATTATTTCCCAACAGACAAAACGCCTCGTAGGGGTTTATAGCCTATATTGGATATTTTGCAGCTCACTCTCCAAGGTCCAGGCCAGGCATCCCTAATTACCTCTGAGGTCTCTGGGTGCTTTCCGAGCACTCCCTGGGTGAGGCAGCCAGCTGAAGCTGTGTGGCAGGCAGGAAGGACCCAGACTTGGAGTTTTTCCCCCTACCAAGCACCACCTTTGGTGTCCCAGTACTGAGGGAAGAAGATTACCTGCCGCAAGGTGTCAGATTAGTGCTGGATCCTGAGCAGTGCTGTGCCCTGCACAGCAAACACCTGCTGTTGGGCTAATCAAGATCCTCCCATTAGCACTGTGTTTGTGCTGGGCTGGGCTGAGCTCTGTGCCTGGCACGGGGAGGTGTCCTCCACTGGTACCAGGTACCTTTTCTCTGGGACAGTCTGCACCTGCTGAGCCAAATCCAGTTAAAATTCATCCCCTTTCATCTTACTTCAGCTTCAAAATCTGACACTTCCATTTCAGACCTAAAGCCTCCCTTCCACCTTCTAGAGCATCGCAGGGTGCTCAGGGCTGCTGTGATGCCTGTGTGTGTGTGTTGCTCCTCCCCTAGGCACTGGCTGGCCGTGGAGTACATCTGGGTCCTTGTTCCCTACATGACCTATGACATTTATGTCATGTACCTCTGCCACTGGCACAAGAGCCTGGACAGGGGAATCGTGGAGAAGAAGCACTCGCTGGCCAGCGTGTGGAGCTTCCTGCTGCAGGAGCGGCTGATGGTGACCCACCACCTCTTCATCCTCATCGTGCTCACCCCCATCACACAGGTAAGGGCTGGGCATGGCTGCACTGAAATCCAGCCTGCAAGGAGCCCCGTGTGGCTGTAAGGACTTGTGACCAAGACTGTGACTGTCAAAGCATCTCTGATGGTCAGAAGTCCATGACCACCCTGGGGATGGTCAGTGTTAGCTCCCAGCGCTGTCCTCACTGCTGGCTTTATTTGCAGCACTTCAGGGGAGAGCTGGGGGACTTCTTCGTGGGCTGCATCTTCATGGCAGAGCTGAGCACACCTTTTGTATCGCTGGGCAAAATCCTCATGCAGGTAGGTGAGGAGGGATTTGGCACAGCAGTTCATACCCTTTCCCTGCCCCGGGCTGCCCTGTGAGCAGCTGAGCTGGGGGTCTCGGAGGAGGCAGCCCCACAGCTGTAACCCCAAGCTCCCTTTAGTGCTGTTTTCCATCAGATTCCCATCCTATGTCCCTTTCTCCCAGTAAGCTGCACGCCCCGTAGCATCCCCGAACTGGGGCTGTGCCGTGTCCTGGTGCTGCCCCCTCCTGTCTGTACGCTGTAACTCCTCCTGCACCCTGTCCCCTTCTACCCTTCTCCATCCCTATCCACCCTGCTCCCTCCAAGACGCTCCCCCTCACTCATTACCTCCTGGGTGCTCGTTTCCATGCGCCCAGCACAGCCCATGCCCAAGGAGCAATGGGGTGCTGCCTGCCCAACACTCACCCCATGTTCACCTCTTCCTTCCCCAGCTCAAAATGCAGGACACGCTCCTGCACAAGGTGAACGGGATCCTCATCCTGGTGACCTTCTTCCTCTGCCGCATTCTCCTCTTCCCCTTCATGTACGCGGCCTACGCCCGGCAGGTGGGAATCCCTGTTTACATGGTGCCTTTCCGCATCCCCCTGCACTGCAACATCGCCAACGCCTCCCTCATCGCCCCCCAGCTCTACTGGTTCAGGCTCATCTGCCGCAAGGCCGCTCGCCTCTACGGCAGCTCGCCCGCCGACAAGAGCAGATAACGGCCGGCGCGGGGCTGGAAAAGGGTCGGCTCCCCCCGGCTCTTCCACCTTCACTGCGGGGACCAGCGTGGGAGCAGAGCAGCGGGAGCAGTGATCCCGCTGGGCTGTGTTAGCTGGAGCAGCCTCACACCATCCTGTGCCAGGCAGCACCAGCCTGGGAAGGCTTTCCTCCCACTCTGCTCCAGTGCCTTGTGTCCTCCCACCCGTGGGAGCCGGGGTAGGAGCCAGCCTGTAAGCACGACATTCCTGCTGGGATTCAACGCCGTGGCTCTGAACGGTCACACGAGAGGGGTTTGTTACAACCCCCCCCGCCGCGTCCTTCGGGGCTGACACCAGACACCGCGGCAGCGAGCGCCGTGCGAGGGAGCCCGCAGCGCTGAAGGCAGCAGTGGAGCTGTTGCTGGAGCGTGCCCAGCCTCATGCAGCAGCACTGGGGACACGGGAGCCATGTACTGGACCTGCTGCAGCCCCAACTCGCTGCTCCAGCTCTGGGTCAACCTCCAGCTGAGAGCAGAGCCAGGCCGGGGGCTGCAGTGGTTCTGCAGAGCCTGTTCCTGACCACTTCACTACAGCCGTGTTCAGCCTCTTACCTCCCATGTGCACCTCCTGCTGCTGCTGGACTCAAACCCCACTTAACCCAAAGGTGCTTTTTCACTATAACTGATGTCCGTGGCTGGTGGTCCCAGGGTTGGAGGTTCCGGTGTTCCCAGCAGGGCTGGAGGAGAGAGAAGCTTGTGCCAGGACAGAGGAATGGTTATGCTGTTTCCCGGTAATGCTGGCAGAGCAGAGCACCCATGGCTGAACAGCAGGATGGGGACAAGCGACTGCTAGGCCCTTGTCTCACCAACACATGGGGCACTATGTAGAGCCCTTCATCAGCAGGGGGTGCAACTTCCATCCTCTTCCCCACCTTCAGTTGTTTTTCTGTCCCACACCCCCCCCAGTGGGTATTTAAAATCCTCTGCCCTGCTCTCCCACCAGCACCCCGTGTCCATCCCTCCTGCCCCTCTCAGTGCATAAGGAACCAGCACTCCCAGAGCAGGGCACTGAGCTGCACCCAGCCCATTTCCACCTTCAGTCTCAGCAGAATGGATACAGGCTTCCCAGCACCACGGGGTTCACAAGCCTTGCAGGTGGATGTCAGTAACAGCTCAGTTCCTTCCCTGCAGCCAGCACAAGCCAGGGCAGCCACCTCCTTTCTGCAGCCCTCTCAGCTTGCCTGGGGGTCTCCTGCTCCAGGGCAGGTACTGCACCAGCATGGCCTTGGCAGCCCCCCATGCCCAGAGACCTGTAACCACTCTGTGCCTTTCACTCTGCCTAAAACAACAGCAGAGCTCTGGGAGACCTGGTTCTCTTGGGTCTGATCCTGTCCCTGCCATGGCTGTATTCTGGAAAGAGTAAAATAAAGGGCCTCTTCCAACATGCGGTCAGTTATTGCACAAACACTACGGTTACATTAATGACCGAGGCCAGCTGATGTTATAAACCGCTTGCAACCTCTTACAGATGTTTTTATCTCGCTGTTTTAACTGCAAGTAACGCGCCTTATGTAAGGACAGAAACAGAAAGCCAACGAGGCATCTCTGTTTGCACTAACACCACCCTATTCACTGTCAGGAGACCAATAAAGATTTCCTTTCTGAGTCACACCACTGGATGTTTCTCCCATGTGCTGTTCATTTCTGGGTGGGGGTGTTAACACGTGGGGTTACTGCTGCACCCCCACCTCAGCACACGTATTTCCCAAGGTTCTTGCCCATCCTGAGCTCACCTGACTCACATCCTAGTGTCCGGCAGCACGTGTTGAACCCAGCAATCTACCCAGGACACGGGAGGGCTAGCGGCAGGGGAGCCCAAGGGAAATGATTTCCCTGATGCCAGAGGCTGATGGGCTCTTTATAAACCCAGGCTGCCAGCAGGCAAAACTGGAGCCATGGGCCCAGCAGCTTGGCTCAGGAACAACTGTGTCCAAAGCTATTTCCACTGGAAAATTAGGGAGTGGTTGTTCTGACCTATCTTTACACAGCCCCTTCAATAGGCTGGAAGAATACATGGGGGGGGGGGGGAATAAGCTCCAAACAGAAAAGTAGAAAGGGTTTATTACAGATCTTACAGCTTCCCACGTAAGAGGTCCCCTCTGTCACTCTCTCCAGCCCCTCAAGCCGGCTCCCCACCTGAGTGTGCTCCCAGCTTGCCAAGCTTCTGCAGCAGGGTGCCACGCAGCTCCTGGTCACTGACGTTGTCCGTGATGGACTCCAGGAAGTGCCTCTCGTTGGCTCTGTGCAGCATGTTGCTGGGGGATGTATCAGCACTGCTGAACACCTCATACTGCAAGAGGATCTCCAACGCTACCACCACCAGTGGCTCACTGCACCCCTGCTCTGGCAGCATGGCAGCGACGTGCAGCAGGTGGCAGAACATCTGGATGCAGATGAAGGACACCTCCTGCGTGAAGGTCCTGTCCTCAGGGTGCGAGGGGGACCCCGCGATGCTCTTGACAGAGCCCAGCAGGTCTGTCAAACTGCTGCAGTAGAGCTGGACCACATGGAACCAAGCCTCTGCTGGCAGCCAGGTGGAGCAGCTGGAGCTGCAGAGGAGCTGGAAAGCCCGCAGGAAGAGCATGGAGAACTGGAGGTAGCAGGCAAATGGCCGGAGGTTGAGCAGGGGCATGTACTGCACGTACTCGAGCGTGTACGGCACATGCAGGATTTGCCTCTGCAGCAGGTTTTCAACCACATGTGCAAGCCTCTTCCATTCACTGTGGCTGCACCAAGGGAGGACCTGTATGAGGGCGACCAGGAACCCTTTGCTGAAGAGATTCACTTCTTCGGGGTTGTCCACATTGACTGTGAGGAGCGTCAGCATTGTCTCCCTGAGCGCCGTGGAGACGCAGCAGCATTCCATCCATGCCAGGAGCCCGGTGCCCGGTCCATAGGCTGGCAAAGGCTGGGATGTCCACTCCTCCTCGGGAAGTGTGCAGATCTCAAACAGTGTTGCCGGGACCTCGTTCTTGAAGTGGTCTCCATAAAGCTTCTTCAGCCGCAGACCAATGGTCCAGTCCAGCAACGCCACCCTCCTGTGAAGCCAAGCGAGTGACTGGACCCACAGCTCAGGGGAAGGGGCAGTTTCTGGTCTTACCACCTCACAGAGCTGGCAGAGGATGTTCAGTATCAGGTCTTTGGTCTCCAGAGAAGGAAAGAGCTGGTCCCTAGGCCGATGCCAGTACTTTGTGTAACCATCTAGAAGCTTGCAGAGGCTGAGGAGAAGTGGGAATGGGTGACAGGACTTGATCCAGTGTTCTTCTGAACTAGACTGTATCCCCAAAACCTTACTGAGGATCTGCAGGCTCAGCTCAATGTGAACAGAGTCTGACTTCAAATAGGGAAAGACAAAGGTTTTGGTCACCTCTGCTGGTGACACAAGGGGGGTGGCTGAGCTTGGCTCCATAAGAAAGGCCAGGAACTCAAGGAACTGTTCCTCTTCCCTCGCAGTGGAAAGCCTCCCCCATACTGCCTCCTCCAGACACCTCAGCACCAGGCTGCGTGGCCTGCTGGGATCATCGTGGGTCTCCAGGAAGCTCAGTACTGGGAAGGAGCAGAGTATTTGTGCAAGGAACTGGTGAGCTCCCAGATTGACTACAGCAAGGTTACAAACCTGCTTCACTGTGGCCTCAGGGTACATCAGAGTGAGCCTGGCTACAGAGGCCACAGCTCTGGTCAGGCCTTCATCAGACACGCTCTTTGTGAGTTGGTTGAAAGTCACATTTAGATCCTCCTGAAACCCGTCCATGACAACCTGCAAGTTCAGGGACAGACCCCGTCCACCCCAGGACACCAGGATGCCCGAGATCACTTGGTTTTTGTCAGTTAATGACAGCTCATTGTAACACTCCACAATGGCTTTGGTCACTTGCCTCTGTAGCTCTCGGGCCTCCTTGTCTTGGTGGAGCACGGCAAAGCTCACCAGCGTCTCCAGCAATTTCAAAACTAGCTCTGGTTTCTGGAAGAGAGCTTTGTTTTTCACAAGGCAGCCAAGCCAGTCCCTTGAAAAGGCCCAGGTCTTCTCAGATGCAAAAATGGAGCACATTTCCACATGCCGGTCCAGCTTTTGCTCAATGATTGTCATGGCAACTGAAGACACAAGGCTGGTGTCCAAATCCTTGCTCTTCAGGCTGGCACTAATCTCCTTAAGCAAGTCCTTAGAGATCTGTGTCAGCTTTAACACTACACGTGTCTCATCCTCACCCAGGTCTTTAGCTTCTGAGAAGCAACCCAGGTTCTTCCCAAGGGTGGTAAGTGTATCCAGGAGCCGGTAACTCTCATAGCAGAGCTTCTCCTCAGAGCTGCTTAGGGTTCCCTGCAGCTCCTCCCCCCAGGCATGCAACAAGCTAGACAGAAAGTCCAAGCCAACAAAGAGCTCCTCATGGGAGAGCTTGGCCATGGACAAGAGGCTCATGCTCCTTTCTGCCTCCCTCACCTTCTCATCCAGCCCTCTGTGGTGGTACATGCTTTCAGTGTCACCAGTCCAGAGGCTGACCACAGTGCTGATCTTCTCCAGGTACTCTGCCACAGGGAGGGGGCTGCTCTCTGACTCCAGCTCAGTGAACATGGACAGTAGCTCTGCCAGGTTGGCCACAGCATAGCACTTCATGCAGGGCAGGGCGATGCACCCATAGATTCGCTTTAACCCCTCTATTAGGACCATGAGAAGGCTGGTGGCAGCAGGGGGGTCGTTCAGAGGATCAGGGTCACCCTTGAATCTCTTTGGGGGCTGGAGGCCATCATCCAGGGAGGACTCACACTCATGCTGACGTATGAGAGCGCTGAATGCAGAGACTGTTGCATCTTCCTCTCCCTCCTTGTGCTTCATCACCTCCCACCACACATCCAAGAAAAGCCTGATGTCTGATGGGGATGTCTCACTGGCGATGTACTCCACCAAGTGCTGCAGCTGGCTCCGGCACACATCCTGGGGCAGCGCCAGCAGCAGGCGCACAAAGAGCCGGGGCTCGCTGAGAGCTTTGACGAGCTCGAAGAGGACGGTGTGGTTAACGTCGGGGATCATCCTGCCCATGGAGAAGAAGCCATCCTCCTTCCAGCCCTGGTCCAGGGAAGCAGCCGGGGGAGCCGGCAGCAGGACTTTAGCCCAGACGATGGCCACAGCCTCCTCCTTCCACAGGCTGTGCTGCAGCGGTGAGCGGCAGAGGGCCCCGATCTCCCCGAGGGCGTCGGTGATGGGGGGTCCCACGCGTGGCCAGTCGGCTTTGCGCAGCTCCCGCAGCGACCGCGGCTGGGTCAGCCGTGCGGCCAGCAGGAACCCGCCTTGCAGTATGGCCGTCTCCTCGCACACGCCCCACGGCCCTGCGCGGGACACACCGTTACCTCGGACCGGCCCCGGCCGCTCCCCACCGCGTCCCACCCGGCCCCGCTCCCCCCCAGCCCCACACCTACCGGCCTCCATGGCTGCGGCGCGCCCGGCTTCCGGCGCCACGATCTGACGTCGGAGAGGGCAGCAGCGCTCCGCCCGCAGCGCCCCCTGGCGGCCCCGCGGTGGCGCCGCCTGTCCCGCACCTCCTTCCCGTAATTAATTTGCGTGCACGGAATTAAAAGGGAGCCCGACTAAAGGGAGCGGAAGCCCCGGTACACCGAAGCAGGCACACACACCGGCCTCCGGGACACCTTTTATTAGTTTAAGGGTGACACTGGCAAGCAGCGGCAGTTCCAGGGTGCAGCTGCACATGACACTGACTTGATCAATACGTGATTCAAAATCATCATTGAACCTGAACTGAAAAGCTCAAATGATAAAAAATCACAGTGATTTTTCCTGCTTAAATTCAGAACACTCACTGCAGGCACTGACACGCCTCGGTGGCTGCCGGCACTGCTGATTTTCCTGCTTTTTCTCTGCTAAACATAAAAGGTTTTTGCAGAGAAAGATGACAAACCAGACAGCATGCCTGATGCAGACAGTACTATAATTACTCCCCGCATTCCATTCCACTAGCAAAAGCAGAGTGACTTCATTCCAATGGAATAAATCCAAAACTGTTACTTCCAAAGGCAATTTCTCATCAAAAGCCAATTGCAAACCCACATTCAAGTCACCTCCTGGTGCCTCTACGGACAGCACAGTGCTGCCTCACACCTCAGAGCACAGCCCCGGCTCCTGTCTGGAATGTGGTAGGCTCCTTGGTAAGGGGTGGAAACCACCACATCAACAACGTGACCCCAGTAAGAAACACACCCTGGGCTCCTCAAGTGAATATTTCACCTCGAAAGCTGGGGAAACATCTTGGAATGAAAACAAAGTTTGCTCCAGACTATAACGTTCATGTGATCTAGTGAGTTATTTTGCTGTTCACAGCAAACAGGCCCAGGCTGTGACAGCTGAACTGCTCCAGTTCCCCATACCCAGCCCTTCCCTTCATCCCTACACTTCACTACCAAAGCAGGGTAGCTGCAACACCCACAGCCTCCTAAAAATCCCTTCTCTAAGCAGGAAATCCAGGACAACTAAAGCCAGTTAGTTACAGAATTTGGTACTGTAATCAGTCAAGCACTCTCTTTTTCAAGTATAACAACACAGAAGTGTGAGGTTTTCCTGTCAATGGAGGACCTGTTTTAGAAGCCACAGGCTCAACCTTCTCCCTGCTGTGCAACCTGACTATTCTGAAGGATAAACATGCTTGAAAGGAGAGAGCAGTAGGAAAAGACAAAAGCTTAAATCAAACAAATCAACCAGTGTGGGACACAAAGGCACTCCCTTACTGGAAGGGGTAATCCAACGTGGTACATGGGATTGGTGTATTTCTCTTTGATGAAAACCACAGCAGGAAGGAGCAGTCCAGCCTCTCCTCCAGCTAAGCAGCAGCCTTCTTCATATTGTGCGCAGCAAACCACTTGTCACTGTTGTCTGACGCCATGGCCTGTGTGGAGGAAAGCATTTACACATTCAGAACCAGGGCTGAGCTGCTGCTCACACTCACCAGCCCGTCCCGCACCCCAGACTGACCACAAGGACACTTTGTAATCAGGAGGAAAGCTGCTAGTAAGGAAAACAGACACTGAAAATCAACCACATGAGCTGGTAAGATGAGCAAACCAGGACAGTTTAAACATAGCCTTCCCACAGAGCTCACACTCCATACCAGAGCCCCTGTGCTGTCAGGGACATGGAGCTGCACTGACATTACAGGAGCTCATCATTCCCTGCAGTAGCTTACATGAAAGTGTGGTGACACAACACCACCCGGCTGCCCCAAGAGCGAGGCTGGAAAACTCTATCCAGGAGTTTTGAAAGTGAAGTTTCAAAACTGATTTGTTTTCCTTAGCAAGATTAGGATTTGCTTCTCAGAAAACCTCCACATGGAATGAAAATTAGGTTCTACAGGTAAATGATCAGGAGGAAAACGGATGTGCAGACAGCACTACTTACATCATCCAACAGTTTGGCACCGTTAGGGTCCACCTTGGACAGATCTCTAAATGCTTCATCTCCCACAAAGCAGATCTCATGGCCATCCTAAACCAAATGCAAGAGCAGGAAAGTTAGATAAATGACAGGAAGACATTTAAATCTAATTCAACTGCTATTTCCAATACTACTCACAAGATCGGCCAAAATAACCACTTGCACTGTGGCTTTGCCAGGTGTGTCCAAGCTGACCAGAGGTGTTAGAATTTTCTGATTCTCCTTTTTCATCAGCGCTTCAATCTTTGGCAACTTGAACAGAAAACAAACAAAAGTCTGCCCTAGTCAGGTGAAGATCAGATGTACTCAGACTGTTCCCATGTACAGCTCCCCATTACCCATAGCTCCACTGCATTCCCACTGTGAAGAACATAAATATCTGCCCAGTATTATTTTATTCGCAACTGAGATATTTGCCAACACTAGAAATTAACTTCCCACCATCCAGCTCTGGGCAATGCAAGGTGGGGAGAGAAATGTGGTTGTTACCTCTTCCTTTGCACAGGAGAAGGCGATGCGCCCAAACGCTGTCCCGTGATCCACTGCTCCTCCAACAGCCTTCAGCTCCAGCTTACACTGACAGAGGGAAAAAGCAAACCTGACTTGCAAGGGCTCTGCTCTCCACGCTACATTCGCTCCAGCTTTTCAGTCATGTGGATGGCTTCAAAATCACCCATAGACGTATTTCCCAACAAGACAGAACTACCAGAGCAAACCACAGCTTTTTTTTTTTTACTTAAAAAATGCCGTGGAGTGTACACAAGCTTTAATTAAAGTACACAGAATTAAGTGCACAGTTGCTTTAATTAAAACCTTTTTTCACCTTTAAGACTGTTCTCACGGAATAAGAGGTTGAGAGGTTTCTATGACGAGATGTAACTCTTAAAGATCAGAAGTAGAAAGTTTTCCAAGGACTAACCTGGTTATCTGCATAGCCCAGCAAAGCCCTTTGCTTTTCCTCATCCTTCTCATAGATTTTCATCTCGAGCAAATTAGACCAGTAATTAATAGACTTCTGGAGACTGGAGACACCCAAGGTCACCTTCATCACAGGATCTTGAAGAATGAAATCATTTGAAATTGGTTACAAGTATACTGTGTTTTAAAAGCACAGTTTTACATTCTTCAGAAGTAAGGTAGAGAGAACAAAAGCGTGTCTGCTTTGTAAAACACTGTCAACACAAATGCACAGCCCAGTTTAATAGCCCACTCATAAATCTCTCGAACACAAGAAAGAGCAAGTGTATGTTTCACCTTTCTTGAGCTGTTCCTTATCTTCCAGGTAGAACTTGTATCCCCCTGGGGCTTCAGTTTCAAAAACACCAGTGGTGACTTCTCTGATGGGCCACCCCATCTTCTTAGCATTGCTCACAGCCTGGCTGGACACAAGCGTTATGCCCTGGTGAGAAGAGAACACAAAATTCACAGAGCAGATGCTGACCAAATCCTGTCTTTTAACAATCAGCCTCTACAAATGACTAGAAACAAACTGGAAAATACGCTTTTTATAACAGATGGACCATACAATCTCCTGAGAGCCAAATATCCTGCTCCTAGAAAATATGCTTAACCTTATTCTACATCCCATTATATTTTGAATGCATCCATTTGCCTTTCTTTCCCATCAAAGGGAAATGAAAAGCAAAAGGAATTTAGAACTCCGACTCAACACATTGTACAGAAGCAGAAAATCGAGATCCTAACTGTTCTGCCAGGTTAGGCAGCCATCCATGGCTCCAAGTGGCCATTCCCTGGCACACCACAGGCTGGAGGAAGAATATTAATTAGCTATGGGGAAAAGATGAGCAAACACATTACATGTATTCATACATGAAACATGAGATCTTCATTGGCTGTCAGCAAGTGAACAGTGAAGAAATAACTAATAACAAATAAAAGAGTGTTTTCCTACAGCAAGATCCTTCTTAGCTAACCATTCCATGTTGGCAGCAAATACCAGCTGTCCTACACACACAGCAGCTAAGAGGGGGAGCTTATGGAAGCACTTCCTGGATCCTAAGTGAGCACAAAGCTGCTCTAGTTTCTGGTATAACCTATATGTCAAGCAGACTCCTAACTGTAAAAGTGAAATGCTTATAAGAAGAAAGGTCTTGCTGCTAAGTGTGGTACTCACCAGAAAGTCATTGCCCAGGCGATATTCTCCAATTCCATAATTGTAAGTCAATTCTGCAACAAAGTGGTTGTCTTCTGGCCCATAGCCCACCATTGTTTTGCTCCATTTTCCATCATAAGGGCTGGAACATCCACATTTAATTGGCATGAGTGTTGGAAATAAACCTTGAGAATTGAAGTACTAGTGTTCCAAGGAAGAACTGCATCTCTAGAGTAATCAAACGGTACAGGAAGCCAGTAGCCTCCCATCAAGTAGGAGCTGATACCTATGAAGAGTTCTGCTCCCAGCTCAGTACACAGCAGACAGGCACCTCCCAGTCAACGCCTCTGACCTCTGCCTGTAGTTCATGACCATACAACAAAAGCAATTCTACCTTCTTTCAAATGGCTCACATTTTAAGAGCACAAGCTGCTCATTAACTGGAATTATAGCAGCACTTTCTCATTAAGAAAAGTAAGTGGTTAGGCACCAGGGTGTAAGATTTCTTTCATCGTTCTATGATTCTGTGGGGAGTAAAATCACAGAATCCCAGCCTGGTTTGGGTTGGAAGGGACCTTAAAGCTCATCCATTCCCAGCCCCCTGCCACAGGCAGGGACACCTTCCACTAGAGCAGCTTGCTCCAAGCCCGTGTTCAACCTGGCCTTGAACACTGCCAGGGATGGGGCAGCCACAGCTTCTCTGGGCACCCTGTGCCAGTGCCTCAGCACCCTCACAGGGAAGAGCGTCTGCCTTACATCTAACCTGATCTTCCTTTGTTTAAACCCATCACCCTTGTCCTATTGCTACAGTCCCTGATGAAGAGCCCCTCTCCAGCATCCTTGTACTTAAACCCCCCTCCCCCACCAACAACCCAACAAAGCCCCTGTTTAACAGATGAAACAACAATACACAGCGGGTCTTTCATGGGCAGCAACGGGCCGGGAAGGGGTTGCGGGCACTCACCCGTTGCAGCTGGCTTTGCAGCCCTCCTCGAACTCCTCATGCCTCAGCACCTGCCGGATTAGGCGAGGAAACGCTCAGCGGGGACACGTCGCTTCCCTCCCTCCCCCTTTCACTTCACGGCTGTCACCGGGCCGAACCGGCGGCTCCGGGGCACAGAGGGCGAGGGCCGGAGGAGCCGGGGACCGCACTTCCGGGGCTGAGCGGGTGCGAAGGGCGGGTATGACCCGCTGAACCCTCCGCCCTCCCCTCAGCGCTCCGCTGGTGACACCGACCCCCCCCCGTCCCGTCCCCTCAGGGCCGCTGCTGTGGGTGACACCGACCCCCCCCCGTCCCGTCCCCTCAGGGCCGCTGCTGTGGGTGACACCGACCCCCCCCGTCCCCCCGTCCCCTCAGGGCCGCTGCTGTGGGTGACACCGACCCCCCCCGTCCCCCCGTCCCCTCAGGGCCGCTGCTGTGGGTGACACCGACCCCCCCCGTCCCCCCGTCCCCTCAGGGCCGCTGCTGTGGGTGACACCGACCCCCCCCGTCCCCCCGTCCCCTCAGGGCCGCTGCTGTGGGTGACACCGACCCCCCCCGTCCCCCCGTCCCCTCAGGGCCGCTGCTGTGGGTGACACCAACCGTCCCCGTCCCCTCAGGGCCGCTGCTGTGGGTGACACCGACCCCCCCCCGTCCCCCCGTCCCCTCAGGGCCGCTGCTGTGGGTGACACCGACCCCCCCCGTCCCCCCGTCCCCTCAGGGCCGCTGCTGTGGGTGACACCGACCGTCCCCGTCCCCTCAGGGCCGCTGCTGTGGGTGACACCGACCCCCCCCGTCCCCCCGTCCCCTCAGGGCCGCTGCTGTGGGTGACACCGACCCCCCCCGTCCCCTCAGGGCCGCTGCTGTGGGTGACACCGACCCCCCCCGTCCCCCCGTCCCCTCAGGGCCGCTGCTGTGGGTGACACCGACCGTCCCCGTCCCCCCGTCCCCTCAGGGCCGCTGCTGTGGGTGACACCGACCCCCCCCGTCCCCCCGTCCCCTCAGGGCCGCTGCTGTGGGTGACACCGACCGAACCCCCCCCGCGCTCACGCTCATGCCCAGCAGGTCCCGGTAGAACCGCGCGCTCCGGGCCCGGTCGCCCACTTTGAACACGAAGTGCAGCGCCCGCCGGCACCCCATGGCGGTGACGTCGCTCCGCGGGCGCCCGTCGCGCAGCGCTGACGGAGGAAGATGGCGGCGCTGGGGAGGCTGGCGCCGGGGCTGTGCCGGGCGCTGCTGAGGCCCGGCGGGCCCCGGGAGGCGGCTGCAGAGGGCAGGCGCGGGGTGCGGGCGCTGCGGAGGAGCCCCGTGCGGGTGCTGCCGCCGCGGAAGGAGCGGGGCGCGGCCGGGGAGAAGCAGCCGAGCCCCAAGAAGCCCCCCCCTCCGCCGCCGCCGCCTCCAGCGGTGGAGCGGAGCTCGGCCGGGCCGGGGCTGTGGTACGAGAAAGCGGCGCCCGGTGACAGGAGACTGGGGTGAGGCGCGGCCCGCGGGCATCAGCGGGGTGGGCTCGGGGCTGCCGGTACCGGGGGCTTTGGAGCGAAGCTCTCCAGGGCGTCAACAGCCCTTTTCCGTGATTAACTTCTCCATAGGAAAGTGCTGACTATCACCAAGTCGAAGAAGTTCCGGGATCACCACGGGAAGGTCCTGCTGGAGGGTCACAGGCTGATCAAGGACGCCCTGGAGGCAGGAGCTGTGCCGCATACCCTCTTCTTCAGCACCATGGGGCACCTGAAGGAGCTGCCCGAGGCCAAGCTGAAGCAAGCCAGCTTAGTTAAGGTGAAATTTGAAGACATTAAGAGCTGGTCTGACCTTGTAACTCCTCAGGGGCTTATAGGTAAGTTGCTTTGGAAACGGTCACAACACTGCTCAACGGGAAACTTACTTAAGTGGATAATGGCTGCCTTCACAACCTTCCCCTGGATGTTCTGGCAGTCTGTCCAGAGGGGTATGACCTGGGAGAATTCCCTTTCCTAGGATGCACTGAAGGTGCTAGCACTCGGTTTTAAAGGCATGTCACTTTAGGTCCGCTGGGAAATAGTTCTCCTTCCAAAGTGTCACACTTCCCAAACTTCCTTTAAGCCATGCTTTTCCTCCTGCTTCCTCCAGCACATCCTTAGTGGGATTTGGGGCAAGTAAGCCAGAGACAACCCTCTCCTTGGGATGGGTTAGCCAGAAGCCTGTCATCACTTTGTCCCCTCAGGGATCTTTTCCAAGCCTGACCATACCAAGATGTCCTACCCTGCTGCTCAGCTGACCAGCTCCTTGCCACTGCTCCTCATCTGCGACAATATCCGAGATCCAGGAAACCTGGGGACTATTCTGAGATCTGCAGCAGGAGCAGGCTGTGAGAAAGTGCTGCTCACAGAAGGTAAAAGCCTTTCCCTGGGGAAAAAGAAAGTGCAGTTTGAGTAATTTTGGGGGTATGGCAGGGAATTAAGAGATGCTTGAAGATGTTGTTCCCAAGAGTTTGTAAGTAGTGTCTGGCACAGAGAGGATTTGCTGTGGGAAGCTGAATCTGATCTTTGTGGGATTCAGTGTCACCATTTTCCCTGCTTCCATCTCAGGCTGTGTGGATCCCTGGGAGCCAAAGGTGCTCCGGGCAGGCATGGGGGCTCACTTCCGACTGCCCATCGTCGCCAACCTGGACTGGGAATCTGTTCCCAGCAACCTTCCTGCTGGCATCCAGGTCTGCGTGGCTGACAACAAAGACCCAAGAGGAGCTGATGGGGCTGGCTCTGCTCCTGGCAGCCTTAAGGCTCCTGTGAAATCCAAACCCAGAGCTGCTCCTGAGCATGAGGATGAAGAGGGAGAGGAAGGTGTCTGCATCCCAGAGCTGCCTGCACAGTATTACTACGAGAGCTGGACACAGACTCCAGTGGCAGTGGTGATCGGTGGAGAGACCCATGGTCTGAGTCCCGACGCGCTTCACCTCGCAGCCAGCACGGGTGGGAAGAGACTGGTCATTCCCGTGGTGCCAGGCGTGGACAGCTTGAACTCTGCTATTGCTGCTGCCATTGTGCTGTTTGAGGGGAAGAGACAGCTGCTGCAGAGGCACAAGCAGGAAGATGAAAGGCAGAAGTTCCCTGTAGTGGGCTGAACTGAGGTTTGGGTGCTGAAGAAGCTTCTCTTCCCTTTGGTGCGCTGTAGAGTTAATAAAAGAGCAGCTCGGGCTGTTTGTTTTGCAGTAAACGAGTGTTGAACAGCTCTGGCAGTGTTAGAGCTGCGCCTGGCTGAGTGTCAGGCTTCCGGGAGAGCCTGCGGACGCTGCTGCCGCACGGGGATGCTAGTGAGAAAGGAAAGGCCGGCAGGAACTCTCGCCTTGCCGCAGCCAGCTCCTGGTTTTTCGCATCCAGCAGATCTGAGGCCTCAGGTCCCTCACTGCAGGGTCAGGACGCAGCTGCCGCAGTGGCATTTGTGCTGGCCCGGTCAGGCTGCTGGTGATAGCCCGTGTCCTTCCTGTGCTGTGTGGCCTGGCTGGTGGGTTTGGGGTCAGAAAGGCCAAATGACAGCCACCTGAATGGCTCCTGCCGGTGCTCACCCAGACCCTGAGCTCTGAGAAGTGATAAGAGCAGCACACCAGCCCTGCCAAGGGTGCCTGCTGTATGCCAGGCTGGCTGCACGGTGGGGTGTCTCTGCTCTAGGAGCTAGGCCTCAGCATGGATGAATAAGGAATGAGGGAGAAAGGTGGAAAAGGAGCTGCAGGCACTGCTACTCAGTTGCTGTCCCTCAGGGAAGAAGCACTGGTTACAGGGAAAGGAGATCCCAAAGCCTGACTGTACCTTCCCAAGGGCAACAACTCTGCTTACAACAACCCACCTCCGTGGATCTGGGATGTGCCATGCAACCCCAGTCATGCTGGAGGCTCCCATGTTGCACCATGCTCTCTGCATTGCTGGCAAGCTCCATGTTGACAGACAGCTACTGTGACAGCACTGACTTCTATCTGGCTTGCTATGCAGTTTAACATGCCAGCTGCTCAACCAGCTACTTAGCACTAGCCCCTCAAAAATCTCCAGTAAAGGGAATACGAGTTAATTTAAGGGTAATTTAGGGTAAGTTGTGGCAGCCAAGTATTGCAGCCCAATGCAGCAAGCTGCAGCTTCCTAATGCAGCCTGACCAGCTCCTGCCCCAGCCACACACAGCCCCTTGCAGTTCCTTCTGCCCTGTCTGGCTCAGGAACCAGTGGGCCAGGCAGCATGGCTGCTCCTCCAAGGACTCACCAGTCAGTCAATCACTGCCAAATGCAGGAACCTCTGCAACGTGCAAAACAGGGAGGATTTACATGGTTCCTGCCTCGCTGAGCTGGCGGCTTTCCTCAGCTCCTGCCCAGGTGGGTTGCTGTAGCAGCAACAAAAGGGGAGAGGCTGCGATCCTGCCCCCGCTGACTGATGAGCTGGAAGGGAAAAGCAGTGACTTGCACAACACTCGCTGTTCACCACACACCTCTGGGGCGCTGCCCTCCCGGGATGCTGCAGGAACCATCACAGCCACCGCCATGTCCCTCTCCCTGACAGCAGGACATGGCAATCGGCACCTCTGGGGACAAGGTTGTTGTAACAGTTTTATTACAAAGTTCCAATCACCATGTACAGTTTTTACAATGTCACTTTGGGGGGCTTGGCTGTGCTGCTTGGGTTAAGGGAGGGATTTTGTTGTTGTTGGGGTTTTTTTGGTTACTTTTTAAACAGCACCATTAACATTGAGTTTGGGACACACCTACAAAAAACAGCTCAATCAACTAACACAGAGGGGAGAAGACAATTCATACAAGAGAAAGGGGTGACAAGGGGATGGGGAGAGCACAAGGGAGAGACTAGAGAAGGGAGGGCAGCCCAGTGGTGGTCCTCCTCCTGGCTCAGAAAGGGAGGGATGGAGTATCACCCATTGCAGGCGGGTGGACCCTGACACGCACAGTCAGCACCACCTAAGGCTGTGGGTGCTTGGGGTGGGAAATCCACCAGGAAAGGTCTCACCCCCCAGGAGGAAGAGCTCGGCTGCGCTGTGGTCTTTCAGAGGTTGTCAGCAGTTAAGACTTTGTCTTCGCCTCGTCAGGGCACTTGCATGGGAAAGGACGGCCAGGGGCAAAGGGGACAGTTTCCTTATTGCTTCCTTGAAGTCACTGGGTCAGCAGGAGTGATAGGAAAGGAAAGAAGGGGGAGAAGGACAAGAAAAGAGCCCCAAGAACCCCATCCACTGCCTGATGCATACGTTGGGAAGAACACCATGCAAAAAGATTTGCCTGCTAGCTAGTGCCATGTATAAAATAACAGTAACAGTTCTGGCCTGGTTATTAGAGAATATATCACCATGAAGCACAAGCAAGTCTCCAAACGCCAACAACTCCCTGCTGAAAGTGCATCTCAAGGAGTTTGCTTAGGAGAAGGATTCACTGCGTAAAACAAGGCACCACAAGAAGGTTGGATACTGGGTCAGGCGTGAGGACACGCTGGAGAATCCACAAGCGGCGGAAGAGACCTAGTTTTAAATAATGTCTTTTGGCACAGAAGCCCCCTTAGATGGGCTCAGGTTTTAGCTTGTCTGCTAGAAAGTCGCTGACAAAGGCTTCCACGATTTCAGGTGTGATCTCCTCCACATCCATCACATACTTGGCTCGGGCCGACATGTCCAGGATGGTGAGCAGGGGTGCAGCTTCGGGCAGGTTGGTGTAATCCCGCAGGGAGTCGGTCATGTCATCCTGGAGGCCAAAACAAGAGGGAGAGAGAAGTCATCAGCAGAGGCAGAACACCAGGAGCAGTTTACTGCTCCCGCACCATGGTCCAGGCCACAGGTATCTTCCCAAGGGACTGGGCCTCACACCACCACTGCAGTACCACAAGCACAGCACCCACCTTGCTGCCTGCAGATTGCATCAAACCCAAACTGGGCTGATTTATCCCAGACTGGGATGGGACTAGGCATTCCTCCAACCCTTCCTGTGCAGGGCACAGCTCCCAGAACCCACAGACTGACCCACTGCCCAAGGCTACTCTGGAGCTTCTGGGGCAGGAGCGATTTCAGCATCCACAGTTCAGGAGCTGGGGACAAGTGCTCAATGTGGGGACTGGCCAGCCCCTGCTAGCACAGCCACATCCCTGCTGCTCACAGGGGACAGATGCCGAAGGGACCTGTGTGCAGGGAGCAAACCAGAACATGTGAATGGGACAGCCCTGTGCTTT